TAAACTAACTTATAAGTTATTCTTTGTATGAAATATGTTATAGCTATAGGGAACCGTAGGAGCTTGGACATTCTCTTTTTGCCAGCTACATGTCACGGCCTTGGTTATTTCCAAGTTATCCTCGTGGCTCCGAGACAATCACAAGTCTTACTTGGTGATGCTAAGTCGGTCTAACTCACAAATTTGCAAGAAAGGCAAGTAAGAAGACAAAAAGAGTTTGAGAGAATGTCTTTGTATTCACTTTAAAGGGACTCGGTACAATTCTTGGATTGATTGGAACAAATGAGCGCCTCTCCTATTTATAGGCTTCTTAAGAGCATTCTAGAACACACAAGAAAGTGTCATGTAGAAGCTAAGAACATTCTAGAATGTCTTCTAGAAATATCTATACAAATATCTACAAGTCTAGTTATATGTACAAGTATGATCTACTTCCAAAATCAATTTAAGACCAAATAAGAATCATAAATAATACCCACTCATGGGCAACCCCTATTAACTCATATCAGCAAATATGAAAATTGTCAAAATACCCCTAACCTAAAAATCCTAGAAAATATAAACTAATAATAAAATAGGACTATAATAATACTAAAACATGATTATGAATGGTTCCTATCGGTTTTTCATTTTTCTTTGAAATCATGCCAATTTTCAAATATCGCCACTTTTTTGAATTTACTCTTTATTGAGTTTCTTATATTCTGCATCACATCTATTTATATATTTTTTAAAAAGAATTATACATTACATTATTCTTAAGAATTATACGTTGTTTTTAAGAATATAAGATATTTATGTCAAATTCTCAAACTTTGAAAATCAAACATTAGCAAATGTCAAAGTTTTGGTCTCATGTTTATATTTTTAGTGATAGACATGACCGATCAGTGACGACACATCGTGAAATGAGTGTCAAACATGTGTCCAAAATTAATATTTTTAATTTTAATCAAGGACATGTAAAAAATAGTATTGAACACGTGTCTAAGAGTGTCGGTGTCCGAAATGGACACATCTGCTTCTTAGAAGTGTTCGTTCGTGCTTCTTAGAAGTGTTTTTTTGTGCTTCTTAGCTTATCCCACAAGCATTTTTACAGCCCTAACAAGACAAAGGAGAGGAGACTAAATTTGCTTCGCTCGCCCCATCTCAACCCACCCTGTGCCAATTATATTTAATTAAATGACCTTTGTATGTATATCCATCCACATATGAATTTGATTTGTTAAATTTAGTAAGAGTAAAATAGTAAAACACTCATGTGTTTCTCAGTTTTTCTTTTCTCACCTTTTTAACACTTGTCTTTAATCTTTTTAACTCTTATTACTCATCAATCTTTGTCCCTCTTATACTACATCATCTCCCTCATTAGTATAATTCCTCTGAAGGGTGACAAATTACTTGCCAACCCCTTGCTCCTGACCCATCCTCGCCACCGCCTCGATGTTTCCCACCCCAACAAGGAACGGGGTGGGGATGGGGACCTTCAAACCTTGCCTGTCTTGTTGTCATTCCTAATTGGAAACCTTGCCTTTGTAGACAAAAAACTTTCTTCTTGTTATTAAAATGCTTTTATTTCTTGGATGTTTTATGTTGGTTGGGGTTGAGGGTTGCGCTGCTATGGGACAAGATGGCAATGATAATTTCATCTGGCAATGCACTTAGCTGATCCTCCATGTAATTGCTCTTCTTGCAACGCTAATCATTGAAAACAAAAGCTAGTGACACACTTTGTTCCAACATATCAAACATTACTATGAAAAATAAAAATAACAAAATTCAAACCCATCATGCAACATAGAGAAACAAAAGAAAGTGTGTCACTAGCTTTTGTTTCTCTATGTTGCATGATGGGTTTGAATTTTGTTATTTTTATTTTTCATAGTAATGTTTGATATGTTGGAACAAAGTGTGTCACTAGCTTTTGTTTTCAATGATTAGCGTTGCAAGAAGAGCAATTACATGGAGGATCAGCTAAGTGCATTGCCAGATGAAATTATCATTGCCATCTTGTCCCTCTTGACAATGAAAGAAGCAGCAAGAACTGGTGTGCTTTCCCTTGAATGGAAAAATTTGTGGAAGTTTTCCATGGGTAGTTTGAATTTTGATGCTTCCAATACAAAGGCGCGCATGCAACAAGAAATAGAAACAATGTCAATTGAAACTGAAAGGACTAAGTATATAAGTAGGGTAAACAAAGTCTCCAATTTGCATCAGGGCCAAAATATAGAAGAATTTAGAGTGTGCTTTGATTTGGATTAGAATTTTGCATGTGTCGTTGATAGATGAATTAACTTTGCAAAAGAAAAGAGTTTGAAAGCTTGAGTTGGACTTGAGAGGATAATTTGACGATTCTCAGTTTGAGGATTCTTGCCCTTTTCCGTTAAGCCAATTTGGTGTTCTAAGCTTTAATACCTTGACTTCCCTCTGCTTGAAATCGGTAGATTTGACAGAAGACGTTCTTGCACAATTCTTATCTAATTGTCCGTTGATTGAAGAGTTATCTTTGATGCATTCATGATCTTTGGTTAATCTAAAAATAGGTGGTCCTCTGAAGTTGAAGTAATTGGTGCTTAGCTACTGTTTCAGTTTACGAAATCTTGAGATTTTGGCTACAAATCTCATATCATTTAAATACCGTGGGCCATGCATAATCAACAATCCTCTTAAGAATGTTGCCTTGCTCTCTGAAGTATCCATTGGGGGTTGTTACTGCATGGATTTAGGCCTAGTTTGGGAAGACTAAATAAGTGCACTTTTTGACTTTTTATGAAATATGGGTTGGGTTTTGGTTGGGTTTGAAGTGATGTATTGGAGAGGTGATGTGACTTAAATAAGATGATGTGACTTAAATAGGATAGTGACTTTTTGTCTTTTTTCAATCATGCCAAACTTGGCCTTAGTTTGTTCAGCATTTTACCGTTTCTCTGGTGTACTCTGTCAGCTAGAGACACTTGTACTGGACCTGGATTCTCTGGTTAGTTTGCATAACCATTGCGTGGTAGTTTTGTTTTTTAATTCCAGAATTTTGTAATCTTAAGCGGTTGGAATTGTAAGCTGTTGCATATGAAGACCAAAGTATCCCATTCCTCACTTCCTTGATAGATGCATTGTATAAGTTTGTGGTGAAGGTGAATCTTCTTAATCTAAATGGCTTTTCATTTAAGAACACTTGGATTATTGTTTATTTGGTCAAATGATGCAAATTACAATGTTTGTTGTGTTCATATGAGTACTTGTACATGTTTTAGCTCCCATTCATTTGTATGCGATCAGTCTTGTAATTTGACTATGTAATCACGCAGTTATTATATTATAACTAGTGGTTGATCTATGCGATGCACGTAATAAAATTAATATTTTTAACAAATTTATGATAATATTATTATGAATCATGACATAAATAAATGTTCATATGTATAAATTATTTTGATGGTTTATTAGCTTTGATGTTAAACCTTTCATTTTTTGTTATGTAGGCTTATTATTACTATATACTCATGATTGTTATGTTTATTTATTCCTTTGTTATTTTAAAATTAACAATATTAAACCTCATTAGGTCAAGTCATGGTAAGTTAACATAATTTCTTAAAATTCTTGTCTATCCTAATTTGTTTCACCAGTAAGAGTTATTTTCTTATTTTACAATGTTTAAATTAAATATCGTTAGGTTAAGTGCTGTTATGTTAATTTATTATTTTAAAATACATGCCAATCCTTATTATTTTACCAATTTTAAAAACTGAGAATAATATTTATGGTCATTGTACATGTAGGAGATAAACAATTCAATGATTGTAAATTTTATTTTACGCAATTAGAGTCCACTTTTTATTTATATCTTATATTTGTTATAAAAATGTTACAGAAGTACATAGTAATTTAACACAAACATGGTTCTTTCTAGATAAAAATTCTTAAGATACAAAAAAAGTTGATTTACTCATAAAATTGTGAAAAGAGGGGGCCAATCTTTGTATACTCTCATGATGTGGCATTTTGAAAATGTAAGTATTTATAGTGGCATGTAAGCACCGATTAGTTGAGAGTAAAAGATTTGGGTTAAACTTTACTTTTATTACTGTACATTAGACGGGGTTAAGAAAGAAAGACAAAGTAATTTTGTATTATTACGTATATGTCTGCTCAAAGCCTTTTATGTAAAGGGTGACATATGGATGGGTTGGGTTGGGTCAGGTGAAGATGGGTGTTGTGTTTAAATGGATTAACCCTGAACCTGCCCAATTAGCAAACAAGTTATACTTGGACAGATTTAGCTGTACACAGGTCGGGCACATGGACCCATTTTGATGAGTTTAATTACTTATCTCTGCCAAGAACCATTTTTAGCTGGCCATTTTATGAGTATCTTTTTTTGGATCCAATCCATTTTCGTGGCCCGACCCATTGGCCAAGATTTGTTTTCCCACTCCTTGGTACAATTGTTCTTGTGGCTAGCCTGTTGAACACTATAATTACAAGTGGGTGGTTTAATTAAAAATTCCTAGTGAACAGAATAGCAGAAACTTTTTCTCTTGTTCTTGGTCTTAAACGTTTAAGTAAATAAAAAGTATTGCTGCTGTGAGGTCAACCTTGTTTTTGTTTTAAGCAATATGCGGCCCAAAGTTCAATTGTTACACTCATGTGATGAACCAAATAGACACTGTTTCACACGTGGTGTTCTCACTGGCTAAGTCTTATGGAGGGTTCCTGAATGTCCATCATAAAGATGCTGAATAAACAAATAGAATCCAATTATTTATTTATTATTTTTATTTTTTTATACATCAATTGGGGCTGGATGTTAGTTGTTAAGGGAAGGGGGAACCACGAAGAGTGTCAAACTCTTCCCCATAAGATTTTGAATTCAAAACCTCACACTACAAAGTGGTGCAGCACAATCACAAGGCCAAGGCCGTTGTTAACTAGAAACTAATTTAGTGCATTGATTTCTTCTTTTTGGTAATTTCAAGTTAAACAATTTGGTTTTGATGTAGGACCAAGTGCTTTGGAATCACTATAATACTAGATCTAATATAAAACCTATGAAGCACGGGTACTCCAAAAATGTTGCCGTACAAGTACCGGATACTTCTCGGGTGTGGGTACGCGTACCGGTAAGGCTGCACGCGTACTGGGTACGCCAAAACGGGTACGTTTTATATAGTTAGTATACTGATGGGTACGCCATGGGCACACCACGGGTACGCCATTGGTACGTTTTGGGTACTCCGGGGTAAAAAATGAGATTTTTTTATAAATTAATGGGTATCGGAGCAATTTTTTATGTCTATTTTAAAGAATTATAAAAATCTGGGGTTCTTTTGTAATAAATAAAACATAAATAAAACATGAAACCATATAAAATTAGGGTTCTTTATTCTCTCTATCATTCTATCATCTCAGCTCCTTCCAGATCTCATTTCGAAATACTCCAAGGCTGAAGAACTTCGAAGGTGCTAGGGTTCCATGTCTATTCAATCATCTCCTTCCAGAAATACTCCCAAGAGAGTCTGAAGAACACTTCGAAGGTGCGATTGAAAGGTTTAATCGAAGGTGCTGCTGATTGATTCTCTCATTCGAAGGTGCGACTGAAGAGGTAAGTTCATCTTCGATTCTTTTACATCAATTGGGGTTGGATGCTAGTTGTTAAGGGAAGGGGGAACCACGAAGAGTGTCAAACTCTTCCCCATAAGATTTTGAATTCAAAACCTCACACTACAAAGTGGTGCAGCACAATCACAAGGCCAAGGCCGTTGTTAACTAGAAACTAATTTAGTGCATTGATTTCTTCTTTTTGGTAATTTCAAGTTAAACAATTTGGTTTTGATGTAGGACCAAATGCTTTGGAATCACTATAATACTAGATCTAACATAAAACCTATGAAGCACGGGTACTCCAAAAATGTTGCCGTACAAGTACCGGATACTTCTCGGGTGCGGGTACGCGTACCGGTAAGGCTGCACGCGTACTGGGTACGCAAAACGGGTACGTTTTATACAGTTAGTATACTGATGGGTACGCCATGGGCACACCACGGGTACGCCATTGGTACGTTTTGGGTACTCGGGGGTAAAATATGAGATTTTTTTATAAATTAAAGGGTACCGGAGCAATTTTTTATGTCTATTTTAAAGAATTATAAAAATCTGGGGTTCTTTTGTAATAAATAAAACATAAATAAAACATGAAACCATATAAAATTAGGGTTCTTTATTCTCTCTATCATTCTATCATCTCAGCTCCTTCCAGATCTCATTTCGAAATACTCCAAGGCTGAAGAACTTCGAAGGTGCTAGGGTTCCATGTCTATTCAATCATCTCCTTCCAGAAATACTCCCAAGAGAGTCTGAAGAACACTTCGAAGGTGCGATTGAAAGGTTTAATTGAAGGTGCTGCTGATTGATCTCTCATTCGAAGGTGCGATTGAAGAGGTAAGTTCATCTTCGATTCTTTCCCCTTTTCTTCTTCGATTCTTTATCCTCTTTCTTTCGTTTTTTTTTTCCCCAAATTTTTGTGCTGTTTCTTCGCTACAAACGATCGATTCTTCTTTTCTCTTTGGCTTTCTCTTTCTTTGATCCTTCATCTTTTTCTTCATTTTTCTTGAACTCTTTTTTTTTTTTTTTCGTGATATATGTCCAGATTTTTGAAACCATAACTTAGCATACAATACAACCCACGGACCAAAACCATAGCCCCTGTCAAGTGAATTTTGAAAATTAGCAAATGATCCCTAACATTTAATCTAAGAAAGGCAAAGTTTTTAAAGGTGAATGCATAATGTGAGGCGTTTTATCCCTCATGAGGTGAGGCGTAAGCCTTAAGGTATTGAGGCGTAAGCATTTCAAATTCTGAATTTTTATATTTCGTAAATATTTTAAAACAAAAAATAAATACATCAAAATTAAATATAAAGGTGTAAATACTTTTATGCTCAAGGCTCATTGCAGAGAATGAAGCTTTGCTTTATTAAAAGTGAAATTGGTATTCTTAGTTTTGGTGATTGAGCTTCTCACTGAGCATTAACTTTGTGTTTTTTCTTGATTAGTCATACTTAATTTTTTCTATTAAATATAGTTGTAAAATGGTTATTTTTTATTTTTTATATTTAAACCATCTACTAGAGTAAGTTTAACAAGACCCTAAGACAAACTCTTCATATGCATAGGCGCACCTAAAACGCATGTCTCAGACTATGTGCACAAGCCTTTGGGGAGTAAAGCCTAAGAATCAAAGCCTTGAGGTGTTTTTCCTTAGCCTCGCCTCGAGGCGAGCATCGGGGCAGGCCTCAGTAAAGCCTTTTAAAGGTAATAAAAGATAAATAAAATTGCACAATAGGCTATTGAGCTACTACAAAAAGTAGAGGTGCGCAAATGAATAGATGAACTTGCAAACTGAACCAATCAGGTCTTCATAGTTGGGCTTGTTCGTTATGGGACAATTCTCCATTTGGTTTTGGATCCAAAAATTCCCATGATTGACGCTGTCGTTTCAGTTCTTGGTTTAGGGCTCAAGTAATGTGGAACAACTTGAGAACTAACCCCATGTATATATAATATAATATTTATTATAGATATAAATTTTCTTGATTTGTCTTGATTACCTTGGCTTTAACAATGCACAAAAATCATTTGCATAGCATGTGTTGTTGACTTTATGTTTGAGTATTTACAAAAATTTTAGTGGACAATTAAAGTGTTATAAAATGCGAGTAGAACTATGGGAGCCTGAAGATTTTCAGTTTTGGTTAGTTGTATTCCGTTCATTCATTGGTTTGGTTCTAGGTTTGGAATTTCCATAACTCACTAGGTTCATTTGGTTTTGGGTCTAGCACTAACCCAACTGAACCCAACCCAACCAACCCATGCTCAACCCTACTAAAATTTTAAGTGGAGACTTAAAATTCAAATTAGAAATTATTAGATGAAGTCTCAAGTATATTGTTTTTATATATTTATTGGATGTCTCTTAAACTTAATTTCAAAGAGTTTGACCATGTATTTTGCGGACTTTATGGTTAGGGATTTCTAAACTTTTTAGTGGGCAACTAAATATTTAATTCAAGTAGAACTGTTGGTCAACATGAAGCAACCTGAGTTTTTCATTTTTGGGTGGAATGAGTTCCATTCATTGTTCCGTTTGGTGGTGTGTCCAAAATTCCCATAACCAACAAGGCCTGTTTGATTCTCGGTCTGGCACTAACCCAACTGAATCGAAATTATTAAATGAAGTTTCGAGTACTAGCATACAAAATTTTAGGTTTGCCATTTTTTTGTTAACATGCCCGACTTTATTCTCCGCCACATTATGAGAAAGCTTGCCTTCAATGTAGTATTCTAGGAATAAAGAAAATAAATAAAAAGGAATCATGGCCTGTATTCTTGGAAGATTGAAATTCCTTTTTTGTTTTTTTTTTGGGACATGAAACTTCTGCTAGGAAGCAATAAGGACAGTATTATGGGCCTGAGTGTTTGGAAATAAAATTAGTGGCTTGAGTGATTTGTAGATCAGACTTGTACATATAAGTAGACTTGTAGATATTTGTATTGATATTTCTAGAAGACATTGTAGAATGTTCTTGCTGTTTGTAAGAAGGCTTCCATGGGAAGCTTCTACATGACACTTTCTTGTGTGTTCTAGAATGCTCCTAAAGAGCCTATAAAAAGGAAAGGGGCTCATTTGCTCCAATCAATCCAAGAGTTGTATAAGTCCCTTTAAAGTGAATACAGAAACATTCTCCCAAACACTCTGGGCTTGTTTGGTTTGTTTTTGGGAGAGTTGTTTTTGAAATTTTTTTTCAAAATTTTGTTTGGTTTATTGTTTTTCTCAAAAAATTTTCAAAATTACTTCCTCTCTTACACATCAATGAATCACTTTTTCTCTCTCCTCTCTCATTCTTAATCACTTTTTTTCTCACACATCTACCCAATTACAACAAAAATATTAAATCATCCAAAACTCCCAAACTCCAAAATTACTTTGAAAAAATACAACCAAGCAAACCAAAAAAATTTCTAAACTCTCTCCCCAAATTTTTTTTTTTGAAAATCACTCTCAAAAACAAACCAAACATACCCTCTGTCTTTTTACTTGTCTTTCTTGCAAATTTGTGAGTTAGGCTGACTTAGCATCACCAAGCAAGACTTGTGATTGTCTAAGTGCCACACGGATAACCTGGAAATAACCAAGGCCGTGACATGTAGCTGGCAAAAAAAAAATGTCCAAGCTCCTACGGTTCCCTATAGCTATAACATATTTCATACAAAGAATAACTTATAAGTTAGTTTAAAATTTTTTATTTTTTATTTTTTTGTTAGCTCATTATTTCTTTTGTTTTGTTTTTTATTTTTTTTAATAGTCCACTTCATTTTTAATATAGGCACAAGATAGTTTTGACGATGGTGCTTTGACTATATTTGAGATCGATGGTGTTGGGAAGAGATATCGGCTCAATCGTTTTCATATAGTGGTTGAAGTAGAAATACTGTACAATAAAATCATGGAGCATCCGAACAGTGATATATACACCCCTCTTCTAATTTTCCAAGTCAAGGAGGACAGCGGCAACGAGTGTACGAAAGAATTGCATTTTGTTGCCATACCTCAAAGGGGAGTTACAATTGAAGGTTTTTTGAAAACATCGTCAAATAGAGATTCACTCTTTGATTCTCTCCATTCGGATCAATATAAGAAACTAATGAAAGAGATTATGAAAGTTGTTATTCATCTAATGGACATAAGTGATTTAACAATCACATTAGGTCTTCAAACTGTCACATTATTACATGATAGACAATTTTCTCAACATTGTATTGCCAAATTTTTTGGTGGCAAAATTTTCAGTAAGTTGAAATTCTGCTAGTAAAAATGATTTATTTATTTACTTATTTATTTATTCTTATGAAATTTTTATCTTTATGTATTGTTATATAGGAAAGCAAAATAAGGTGTTAGGTTTTTGTAATTGGCAATCCTGTTTGATAAAATTCTTTTGAGTTGTAATTTTATTTGATCTTTTATTTGAGTGAGGCTGTGAGTATTTAGATGCGATTCCAACCTGAATTGTGCTTATGCAGAGGAGTTTGTGATCTTAATCTTATCATGTTTGCCACTTCGCTGACTATGTCACGACCTTTCAGAAGTTTCACTCGCCTACAAAAGTACTGGGAGTTGTTTTTTTCTGCTCGAGCAGCCATTCCTGTGTTCGAGCGTAGACCCTTTTTAGTCTCATGCGTTTTAGTCACTTTGCTCGAGCGGCCATTCTTGCCCTCGAGCGGAGATTGCGGATCTGTTTGCTATAAAAGTTGTAGTTTAGTCAGGTGTTAGGGTACGGCTTCCAGATCTTCTTCTTAGGTATTAGGGTTTTCTTCTAGAGCTTCTTTGCTTGTTTCCTTTGATATCTGTGAGAGTTTAATTATGAATTGAGTGGATTATGTCAAAGGGTTTGTTTAGTTTGTTTTATTCACTCAGCAGCATCGATATCAGTCTTCGTCCTCGTATAGATCAATTTGATAAATGCTAACAACTTTGATGAGCGAGTTATTACCTTATGAAAAATCTAAAATCCCGGATATATTGATTTGTGATTATATACTAATTTTAAATAGTAAATAACAATCTCAATCAAACAATCAAAGACAAATTGACACAACAATTTTACGTGAAAAAATCACAATTGGAGCGCCTCCAATTGTGATAAAAAATCACGGGCCAAGGCCACAAAACAATTCACTAAGAAGGCACAAATGAATTACACAAGTGTACTCTCAATTTCCTAATGAATTCACGCTTGAATTGAACCGACCCCTATGTGCCTCTTCTAGCCCCGTCTTCATCTCAGAATTGTCTTGCCCAACGTTGAATCCACAACGCCGATGTCGAATCCACGACGATGAGCCACTCCGAAATCCACTAAAGCTTCAGGCTTATGTTCCACGGAACCCACCAATGCGGATATTAAATTGGTTGGCATTTATCAAATTGATCTATACGGGGACAAAGATTGATATCGATGCTGCTGAGTGAATAAAACAAATTAAACAAACCCTTTGATATAATCCACTCAATTCATGATTAAACTCTCACAAATATCAAAGGAAACAAGCAAAAAAGTTCCAGAAGAAAACCCTAATACCTAAGAAGAAGATCTGGAAGCCGTACCCTAAAACCTGACTGAACCGCAACTTTTATAGCAAACAGATCCGCGATCTCTGTTCGAGCGCAAGAATGGCCGCTCGAGCAGAGTGACTAAAACGCGTGAGACTAAACAGGGTCTACGCTCGAGCACAAGAATGTCTGCTCGAGCGGAAAAAAACAATTCCTAGTACTTTTGCAAGTAAGTGAAACTTCTGAAAGGTCGTGATATATTCAGCGAAGTGACAAACATGATAGGATTAAGATCATAAACTCCGCTACATAGGCACAATTCAGGTTA